TTTATATTCTTTTTGCATGTGGAATTCCAGCTGGTTGCTATCTAAAATGGCCTTCCTGCAGAAAGGCAGCAAAAGATAAGAATAGTGACTTTGTAGGTACTGGTACCTGAAACATAAGGTCAGGTCCTCTGAATCTTCTAGGACACTCACTGCCTTTTGATTGTCCAGAATCGGTCAGGAGCGTTGTCTTTTGACAGCAGCAGAGCTGGGTAGGGTTTGCTAGCCAGGTTTTTAGCAGTCTGAAGATTGCCTTGGTTGTGTGAAAGATAAAGCCCTAGATGGAAGTCAGTTAGGCTTCTCTGATTTTAGTGTGAGTGTCTTTTTTTTTTTTTTTTTTAATACCAGGGAAAGTCAAATTTTGGGAAATTTAGATTCTTCTTTCAGAAATTTGTGTATGAATAAGGGCACTCATTGCCTTTGAAGTTTGAATATTTATAAAAAAATTATGAGGGCTAACCTGCTGGATGTTTATTGGGTGTAGTTGGCAGATTTCGATTAAAGGTAGGATAATCAGCAGTATATACTGAAATGTAAAACATGTTTGTTAGACACTAGGATAATAGCAAAGATATATATTGTGAGATTGAAAATTTTTAAAATAGTGTTAATGATATTTAACTTTCATGATTGAAACCTGCTCTACTAGTGGAAAACACACACTGTTCAGTCCCCCCCCTCCACATTATGCTTTTGAGAAGGGATCTGAATATGTGACCGACCTTTGCCTAACTCCAGTCTTTTGAAGATGAGCACTTCTTTCTCTTCAAAAACAATGCTGTCTTGTCTTTTATTTCTAAGACCTGTTTGTATATTTCTTTGTCTTGCTTTATATAACATTTACTTAGGAATACCAGTCCTTGAAAGGAACTTTTTTTGTGTGTTGCAATGAGAAATTATTGATTACTGTAGAATAGGGTGTGTTAGCTAATTATAGATTGACTTGGCAGAATAATAATTTCAACAACTGAGTGCATTTTAAGAAAAGTGAGTAAGAGTATTCACTTGTTTATTCAGTATGCTTTGCTAACACAGCTGGAAGTGTGTATGTTAGTTAATATGTTTGTGCTGGTACTCTGGCCACTCCCAGCAATCCTTTTTTCTTGGTAAAACATGAGAGCATACAGATAGTACAAATTCTGTCTCCTGTGTTCTGCCAGTGATGCAGGTCTACTCCTCGCCATCAATATTCTTCCTATTTACTGTAGAGGACTGTAAGATGAGACATGAATCCTTGCAGAGTCCATAAGCTCAGGTTCAATATTGTTGGCTTGGGGCAGTACAGACACTGAGTAATCAGCACTACTCCTGAGGAACATCTGACTCTTGCAAACTCTTTTCCCCTTTCAAGCAGTAATAAAGGTGGTGAAATTCTTTAGACAGCAGCACTTGAGGGAAATGCATTGCATCCATGCTTTGCAGACATAATTTTTTTCCCTTTGCACTTTTTCCTCGTGCTCATGTTATGCTACTGCTGTAGCAGTGAAATCTAAACTCATTGTATAGGCACAGTAGACCTGCTATCATGAGGCAGGGTCCTGCGGCGTTTTCCCAGCCCTGTCATTGTAAGAAATCCTTGACTGAGCAGCTTTGTGATTAGAGTATAAAAAAAGCAATCACACTTTTAAGCTATTCAGAGAGATTTCTGCACAGTGTTCTTTATCACAGCTCTTTGTCCAGAGAGTCAAGAAAATAACTTTCTTGAGGCTGCCTCAGGAAGAGAATTGAAACCACAAATGTTTTGTTCGGCTGATGGAAGTGAATATTTAACTTCAGAAGGATTCTTGAAAGTCAGGTGGTATTGCAATGCATGTTCTGTCTCTGGAAGTTCAGTGGTAGATTTTACTGTGTCTTATGGGCCTTGCCACCCTGTTAAATCAGTTTGTATTCTGTATATCTCTAGCTTTTTTGACTCCTTTGAGTCTAAAAGGACTAGATTTCTTGCCAAAGAAACATTGAACAAAAGATCAAAGAAAGCATTAGGATAGCTTTAAGAACCTGCTTTTTGTGTTGATATACATTCAATTACTCTTTGATTTTTGCCTTCCTGTTTTCCTTCTAAAATCCAGAGCAAAAACTCAGCTAAATGTGTTGAATAAGACTTACGGTATGGAGACTTTGAGAGGGGATGGGATTTGATCTCTTTAGGAAGGTTGGGTGTTGAGATACCAATACTTAGATATTGCTTTTGGAAACCAGAATTGTTGCCATTCCATCACCAGCCTAGTGACGGTTTGTTATGTGATACTGTATCTCCTGTTGTGTAGGTCCTTGGGCTAGACTTGCTGTACAGACAGAAACACTAAAACAAACAAAACCTTGACATTTGGGATGATTTTCTTCTTAAATGCCTCTGCTTTCCAGTTTTAAATCTAGTTATTTGCTTTATGAGGAAGTGCTGAAATTTGAATTCCTTAGTCCTTGAGAAGCTAAACATACTTGAACAATGTTCTTAACTACTGATCAAGAGTTTTGTTTTGATTGTGGGTTTTTTGTTTGTTTGTTTTTTAAAGTAGAAGACAACCTTCCTCTGGAGGTACTAGATTACATCAGTGAAAAAAAGATTTACAGTGATCTTATGCTTTTTTCCTATTGTCATGAAAGAAAGTATGACCACCTTCTTTACATAACAGTTTTGGGAAGTTCAGTCTCTTTTAATGCTTTCTCCTCCTTTTTTGCTAATGCTCTGGGGGTCTGTTTCATTTAATGCGTATCTATTTCTTCAAAATACAGCTGTTTTGGCTGCTTACTAGGGTTGCAATATGTCTGCAAGGTCAAGTATTAACTGCTGATGAGGGACTTTTGCACTGAGCCAGATAGACCCTGACATGGAAACTGAAACATCTGCTTATCTGAATATTTTTTTGATCTTTATTAAACAGATTTTAATTAAGAGTTGTCTTCCCAGTCTCAAATCTTCTTTCCTCATTTGATCTGCAGTTAAAATTAAGTTCATCAGTTTGTGATATCCTACTCATTGCTATGACAACAGCCTGTCAAACAGACTTTGATATGAGGAATTGCAGAGAATAAGAAGCTGCTTTGTGAGCAAGGAAGTGTTCTTGTTCAGCCCCATCTTATTAATTAATAATGTCCCATTCAATGCTCAAAATTGTAGTCACTATGGTAAATTGAAGGTAGTGGCTATCTGCATCCCTTCTACCTGTGGCTTTGATACTCTAAAGAGTAGGTGTGTTAGGGTGTGAAGCCTCACCCTGGCACAGTGAAGGCATGCCTGTCGCAGGGAGGTGAGATATTTCCCTAGTCAGTGCACCATTGGCGTTGGAGCAGGGCCCTTCAGCTGCTCCTCGTGCGTGCTGGGGCTGGGCTGGTTGCTGTGTCTGGACACTGCTTGTAGATAGTAAGTGCCAACTAAAAGGAAATAAAATAGCTTTATTCTGAAAGCTCTCTTTATATCAGGCTGCCAATTGTGTTTTTAAGAAGACTGGATTGTGTCTGAAATGGTTTATAACGTGCCCGTATTGGCTTAATGGGGAATGTCAAACTGAGGGTGTGTTTTCACACTTGTCAGAAGCAAGTGCAAGTCCGTACTGCTGCCAGGAAGAGGCTCTCGCCTTCACTGGTTTTCTGCTTCAGACCTCTTTCCAAATTGTGCTGCTCATGGGCTGTATGGTCAGCAAGATGAGGATCTTCTTTAAAGATCACATTATATTGTTCAGGTTGTTTGGCTCTGTTCCCTCCAGCAGGCTGATTTGCTGTGCTGCTTTATCCCACAGGAGTGTTTCAAACACTTGGGTGCCTGCCTTTTTCATTTAAGTATCCTTTCATCCTGAAAAACAAACATGGCTTAAGCAGCTGTGACACAGAGGCACTGTAAAATACATGTTAAGAGAGGGAGAAAAAACAGTACTCTTCAGGAAGCATAGGTTGCCTGGCTGTCAGAAGTGTAGGCTACAGTTCAGCACGTGCTTTACAAACAAATGGAAAACTTCTTGGTTTAATGTGCGTGTACTGCTGTCATGTCTGAAACATGGATCACAATACTTTGAGTAGCTTTGGTGAAATTACAGAAAATAGCATTGAAATGTATGTCAGAATTTCTAGGTACGAGAATCTCTGTAAATATGATGTTAATTCAGAAATGATGAACAAATTGAGACCCAATGGAGTTATAATTTCTCAACATATGTTAAATCACAGTGGGCTAATTCCAGACAGTCGTGTTTGAAACTACAAGCTTGACTTTCAGAGAGGTTAGTGTTCTGTGTCATATTGTCTGTTCAGGGCTTTTTTTTTTTCCCCATTGCTTATTGTGCTAGGCTCAAATTGTGGTGAGATGACCAATACTTTAAAAAAAAAAAAACAAACCCAAACCCACAACAAAACCCAACTAACGCAAAGGTCATTATTAGTCTATATAAATCTAAGTTTTCAGGCATTGGCAGTCCAGTCAGCAAGGCTTATAAAGTAGATTTTAACACAAAGCGCAAAAGTAATCTCTACTGCAAACTCAACTGAGGAGTGTTCGTAATGTGTTTAAAATATCAGAGGACAGCTACAACCAGATAATCAGCGATAAGTGTTGAACTTGCTGTTCAGACATCACCACAACTACTTAATACTTTGCTTTCCATAGAACATGTTGTCACAACCTTGAATAATCTCTGTTCTCACTGTATCTGGCTTTTAGGGTGTCAAGTACAGCGCTGTGATGGCCTGTGTGTTCTGGGGCATAGAAGACAACAAAGATACAGAATCTTGAGAGTTTAGGAGACAGATTGGCTTCGGTGAATACGTTCACAAAGTGGGAGAAACACAGTATTCCATTTCAGCTCATACTATAGCCAGTTCGTGACACAGGCAGGCCTTTTTTGTTAAATATCTAAGAGTTCATGGAAACATACTTTCTCTTCAGACTTTATTGAATACTTTAACTAGCACATAAATCCAATTTCTGCATTCAATTTTGGCCACAAAAATGTATTTCTAAAGTGAAGAAGAGATTTAAATGATAATGGGGTTAATTATCTTTTTGATTCTAGGTGAGGCTCCTGACCATCATGAATCTATCTTGAAACTGAAGCATCTCATTGCAACTTTAATTGTTGAGTACCCATTACTTGTGAATGCTAGTGAGCAGTTGGGTATTGAACGCATCCTGATCCGTGCAGTCACAGCAGTTTGCTCAGTTTTCACCTGAGCATTATTGTGCATTGAACTCAGCACTAGCAAGCTTGCACCAAAGCTACTGCCCTGACAAGTTGTATGCTGAGGCATGTTCATACATTGGGGTTGCAGTAAAAGCGCTATGCTGCTTGTTTGCACATCTCCGTCTGCCCAGGTGCACCACTTGTAGGTTGTCTTTAGTTCCCTAAATTTGCAGTTTTACTTCCCAGTGTCATGGGGACAGAAACCAGGCAGTTGACTGTGACCGTTCTGACCAGATGAGTTATCTGTTTCCAGTTATCATAGCTACTGTAAACCATACTGGCTACTATAAACAAAAATACTGGCCACAGAGGCCAAATTTAAAGGTAAGCATCATCATTTCTCTTATAAACAAGAGAAGTAGAGTCAGTGTTGGCCACAACTTCCATATATGTGCAGGAAAGCAGTTTGATGATAGGGAATGGAGGAACTGCCTAGTTTGTGAATGTAATTTTTGTGTTAGTGTTCTGAGTGAGTATGAGAATGGTTAAATTCCAGGCATCAAAACAAGACAGCAGGTATTACAGAAATTTAAGGAGTGATACAGCTGGAGCTGGAATTTCAGCAGAGTAGCAGGTAGTATGTTAAATAACTGGAAAAATGTGAGATTTAGATGTTGTCTGAAAGTACAGAGGTAGACAGATACCAAGCAGCTGGCAAAAATGCTTCTTATCCACTGTAAAGACTGCATTAAATCCAATAATAGTTTATAAAAGCTACTTTCTCAGGAGTCTGTGTATAGAGTTCATGGTAAAGGCAGGAAGTGTTCAAGCTACTGCATTTGTGTATTTTCTGGGTATTGAATCAGTACCCTGCCTTAACTCATGCTCTTTTTTTTTTCCTTTTCAGATTTTCTATTTTGTACATACATTGTTTTGTATATACTGTATATGATGACTTCGGTGGGCAGTGAACGTACCCGGGGCACTCGGGACAAAATGCAAATTTCAACCACACAGCCAACACAACCACAGAAACAAGTAGTACAGGTATGTGATACCATATGATCTTCTTTGAGTTGAAAGCGAGCATGTAATGTTATGTACTTCTTCCCTAAGTCAGTAAAACTGAGGAAAAGATGGGAGGAAAAATCGTAGTTTGTTTTGGAAGAGTATGTTTGTTATCTCACTTTAATTACTCAGTAGTCCAGCACAGCATTAAGTTGTTCCTGTATTGTCTCTAAAAGAGCTTTGTGTTCTTCAGCAACATTTCCCATCAGTGAGGAATTCTATGCTTGTGTCAGGACTTCTGTCCTGTGACCTCAGTGTCCTCAGATGTTGGCTCTTCCATATGCCAGCCTCCTGATGCTAGATTATTTCTGGTCAATAGAGAAATTTGGGTGGGTGGGGAAAGCTTCGTTAGATGCATGCTGTGTTCTACAGCATGATGCAGCATATCTGCAAGTCACAAAATCCTAAACTTGTGCAGTGTCCTCACAAAGTGAAATGAAGATGGTTTTTCACTAGCAGACTAAAATTATTTTGAGTATCTGTGAGATTGAAATTAAGCTCTTACCACGTTGCCTTGATTCTCAGCAGCAGAGTAGTTAAGTTGTGTGCTTCTCTGGGTTATAGAGAGTGCAAAATGTCTCTGCTCTTGGCAACTCATTATTGTCCTGTCAGGTACTTCTCAAAATTGGACTCAGTTCAAGAATTGCCTCAGTTCTCTGCTGGCAGAGTGCATCAATCTAGGGGTGCTACCCTGGGAACTTGTGTCTTTGATTGTTTTCTAGAATGATCTTTAATGTGGAGGGGGTCTTGTTTTGTTCTGCTTTGTACAGTATTAATTATGTGAGCTCAAGCCCTTATCATCTCCTTGTGTTGCCACGGTTTGCATAGTGGTGATTCATGCTAATGTGTGGATTTAGAAAGTGACTTTCAATAGATGAATTTGTTTCTGTTTTATAACAAGTACAGCTGCAGGAGTATAGTGAGCAGGTTGACAGAAGTGGTGTCGTCCCCTTTTTTGACAAGACAGCAGTGGAGTACTCTACCTAGTTTTGGGTTCCCTGGCACAAGGCAGGCATTGGCAGGTGGGAGCAAGTCCAGTGAAGAGCTGGGAAGATGGTTGGGAGACTGGAGCACAGAATGAATGAGTGGTGATTGAGGGAAATGGATTAGTTCAGCCCTAAAAAGTCAGCGCAAGATTATATCTTCTATTCACATACCTCATGAAAGTGTATAGAAAAGGTGAAGCCAGACTCTTCTCAGACAATGGCACAAGTTGGAACACTGGAAATTCCAGCTGTTAAAAGAGAAAAGCGTTTATCACGAACATGATCATAGATTAGAGGGGTTGTAGGATCTCTGTCTGGCCCCAAGCAGTTCCTCTGACAGGACATGCTCTCAGTGGGAGGTTGCACTGAGTATCACTGGAGGACCTTTCCAACCTATGGGATTCATTGATTTTTAAGCATTAAGTCTTTTTTCTAACCCTTTTCTGCATTTTGTGTGCTTATTCTATTTCATGCATAATAGATACTGGTTTGCTCAATTCGGTGGAAAAGATGGTTATTTAATATACAGCAATTATGTTTTAATGCACCATATTTTTTTATTGTTTAGATATAGGTGGACCTTCCTGCTTAGTCAGGCAATACAGATGAACAGAAATGTGGGGGATTTTACTGTTTAATTATTTTTCTGAATGTAGAATAATGTTGTTTTCCCAAATGAAGATTTCGTTGTCATAATATCACATTGATCATCATTTAAGTTATTTAAGAAATTACATCGCAGTTCTTTTGCTTCTGGATAGCAAATATACCATTTTATTATAAGATCTGGGCCTATTACTGTCACACAACTTTGTGTTTTGCACACTTGTTTTCTGGTAGTTCAAAGTTGTTAGTTAAAAATTTCCTTCACGCTGTTATGCCGCAAAGATAATATATCTTGTAAGGTTGAGTAAAGTTTTAGCTGTCTTAAGATTAATTATACTCTTTTATAGGATACTACAGTCTTACTTGTAACGATGGTGCCTTAAAAATAAAGAAGAACCACTCACTGGAAAAAACCCAAAACTTTTTGTGACACTGATTTGGTGTTTGTGTAGTAAACACATCTTGTGGGTTTTTGTTGTATTTTTCTTCTGAATCTTCAATTCCATCTGGCTGTAATCCACTGGCATAAATATTAGTGATATTGCACCTACTTGTTTCTAAGCTCTCTGCTTACACAGGAAAACTGAAGATATTGTCACACATTTGATATTGTTAGAAGACAAAAATATACCGATTTTATAATGTGGACTTGAAAAAAAAAGTTGGTTTATGGAAAAAATGAATCTTAATGGCTTCCTGTTTCTGGTCAAATATGCCATCATGTCTCTACAGAAATTACATTGTCTGAATATTTGTACCCTGGATATCTTTAAAGGAAATCTCTTCATTAGCTTAAAAGTTACAGTGGGCCGGAGGAGGCTGAAATCAAAGCGAGAAGATAGATCAACAAGACTTAATTCCTGAAACCAGCAGACCTTTTGATTTTGCTCTCTGCTGAGCTCTTGGCAGGCTCAAAGAGCGAGTTCCTTTGCACAGAGCACCACGTTGACCATGAGGCTTTTGTGGAGGGTGGCACCAGGGCTGGTGCGGGGAATTCCAGAGCAGACTCGCCTCTGTGTTACTGAGCGACATATGAAGCTGTCAGCATGACACTTTGAAAACGTGAAGTAGCGCAGAATACTTAACTTCGTTACAAACACTGATTGTCTTGGGACATTGCCTCTGAGCAGAGCAGATGTTGCTTACCTCAAGGAACTGGGACAGCTGCAGTAACTTCTCAGAAAATAAGCAGCTGGTGGTGCGTGGTGGAGTAATTTTTAGACTCTTCTCAGCATTTACACTTGGCGACCTCCTCTAGAGCTTTTATTAGTGGTATTTGCTCCAAAAGCAAAGCAGTTTGAGGCTGATTAAGCCTGAACTTGCGAGGCACAGAATTTCAGGTGGGTATCCTGTGAAGTGAGACTTCGAAAGGAGAGATTCAACCAGCTGCCCAGGATAAATCCTGTCTGTTAAGAATTTCAGTGGATTAGGTGGTCCCCCTTCTCAATGAAGAAGTCTTCTGCAGCGCATGAATTCACATTTTGGGTCCTGGCTCTCTTCAGTATCAGCCTTCGCTAGCATGAGACAGAAGCCTCTTCTATTTGAGCAGAAATCAAATTTGGTCCAGGATCACGTAGCACAGAGTTATCTTTGGTATTTTCATGAGAATACAGTTCAAATATACTGCAAATGCCACACTATGAAGAGTGGCCTGTATGATGAGACATTAGTGTTCTTGAATTGCTTCCTCTCTGGAGCAGCCATAGCCTGTTTGGATTTATGGCAATTTACTGCCTCCATCCGTTTTAGTCTTTCAGCTTTTGGAGAAGTTGCCAGCATGGATTTGTGGTCCAGAAATGTTACAGAAGCACCAAATATTTCATCAATAGCAAGATCCTTTAGCAGTTTTCAAAGGCCAGTATTTGCTTATAAAGAAAATAAGTGCAGCTGTTCACAGGCAAAATCTTGAGGCATGACTCAGTCTCTTTTTAAAGTGCTCATAAACCTACAGAGTCAGGTGGTTGTTGGGAGAATTGTGGAAGGTGATGAGAGCAGGAATCATCAGAGATGTGGTTAATTTAGAAATGCTGTTGCCATCTTGTTATGATAAAACTCTAACTCTGGAGTGGTAGATACTAAATAAAAGTAACAGTATCAAAGTGTAAGCTTCTGTGGTAATTTCTATTTTATTATATGGTTGTCTTGTCTATGTGGTGACCGTTAACTGTGGTTCAAACACATTAGAACATGTTGAAATTGCTTCTGTCCCAGCTAACTTTTTAACTATAAAATGGGCATAGAGGAGATCTTAATCCTTTCTCCATAGCACCTCTGTGCTTGTTGTGTTTGTTCTTTTTGAGAATCTGGAGGAAAAAAATGTGAGTGACACTAGGAAATACTTCTAAAAAATATATTGTTACCTTTTGTGTACTTCATTGGATGTTTGTTTTTCAGGCAACAGCAGAACAAATTCGCCTTGCTCAGATGATCTATGATAAGAACGACGCAGATTTTGAAGATAAAGTGAAACAAGTATGTTTCTTATGGTACAGAGTTTTTATGCCTTGCAATAAGGTGCTCCAAAGCTGGCTTACATTTTGGAGCTAGAGCATCTGTTTCTGGTTTAATGAACCCTTTTTCAGAAGGACGTAAGTTTACCTACGGAAAGATGCTCTTATTGCACTGTAAAGTCTGTTTACCACACAAGAAATTATGTGGTAATATAGCTCTGGCTGTATAGATCATTGGTGTGTTTTCCTTTGTAGACAAGCCTCTAAGCCAAAACTTATCTACGCTAATGTCTCTTCCAGACTGTATCTCTCTAGTATGGTCCTGATGCTTTAATGATTGTTAGAATAAAGAGTGCGTTCAGCTTGTCCATATGTACATGCACATGGGAAAAATGTCACCTATGGAAACTGAGTTTTCTGATACCGTGGCTGTTTTTCAGGAAAAGTAAATGTAATCATAGCTTAAAGGTGAATTGAAGTGTTATTTTAAAACAATAAATAATCTGACCTCCCAGATCTGTGTATGCATTAAAATGATAGAATTATACTGTGAAAATGAAATCTCACACCATTTCCTCTGCCATGCTGAGTTTTGGGTGTAGATGCTCAAACTTCCATTACCTGATTCCAGCTGAGACTGTTGATTCAAGCACTACTGAGAATCCAGGTTCCTATTCTGCTGTGGGTGTTCATGATTTTTGTCCTAGTGAACGCATCATCATAACTCATGAAGACCCTAGGAGTACATCCAGAAGGAGAGAAGAATTAGTGTGAATGCATTAATGCAGTGGAGGAGCAGATGTATTGATTTTTTTTTTCCCTTTGTAAAACCTCTTCTGAAGCATTATTAAGGTTTTTGTTGTTCTTGTTATAAACTTGTTCTGTTTCTGTGCGAGAAGTGAAGTCTTGTACTTCCTGGAGCCAAATGACCTTCATTAATAGTGCCTGTAGCTCTGCTGGTGGGAAGGATAAGAATTAAGTTCTACATAGGAAATCTCCAATGTTTTATGTTGTGTATATATATTTCTAGCTCATGTAGTTTTTTTCCTTTGCGTGAAGTTGCTGGATGTTTCATGACAAACTGATTATTTCCATCCCGCACTCCTCAGGATGTGCACTGCAAGTCCATGGAGCATAATTCAATACTAGATCCCTTAAGCAGCCATTGCTTATGCCTTTTGTGTGGCCTTATGCTGAAATGGATTGATGGAGCTGATCTGCCTAAAAAAATAACCTTTTTCTTAGTCTGCATGTTTCTCCAGATGGATCTGCCGTGGCTTGCCTTTTGTCTGTTCTCACACAGTAGGATAAAGAGGGGGATGTTTGATGGGGAGGGAGAAAGGCTGATACTGGAGCTATCCTGGTCTTCTACATCTTTACCCTCATATACTGCTGTCTCTGGGGTGACAGCATTTGCTGTGAGCATAAAGAAACAAAAAAAGCTGTGAAAGAGCGTTTTCTTGATTACCATTTAATTTGTGTTTCATCCTGCCTCTTGTCTGAATCCCAAGCAGACCTGTAAATGTGGATACCTTTATTTAGGATTTTAGTTAGCTCTGACACAGTAGCTATGCACTTGTTTGGAATCTGTGGTGGTACTAACTCTTATTATGATGATAATTTAGATGCTTTAACATGTCTGACTTTTACTGCCAGCTTATGGAAGTGACGGGGAAAAACCAGGATGAGTGCATAGTGGCACTACATGATTGTAATGGGGACATCAACAGAGCAATCAACATACTCCTGGAAGGAAGTTCAGACACGGTAAGGTTTTACTTTTTATCTAACAGCTCTTTCTGTTTGCTGCATCTTTCTACTTCTGAGAAGTGATTGGGAAAGTCATATTTTGGAAGCTTTCGATTTCTATTCCTCCATTCAAATTCTTTCGAAGGAAAGAGAGACCGGGGTAGTGTTCTTACTGCATGCATACTTCAGAGTAGGCTGAACCTTGTAAATGTTGAGGGTGTTGAGCTGGTCTCTTGCAGAGTCCTCTGGCTTTCCTTTATATGCAGCAATTTTAACTCTGCAGCAGAATTCAGTGCTCTGTCAGACAGGGGCCTGGTTTTTTCTGCACTGTTTGTAGTTATTCTCTAGCACCTCCACAACCCTGAGACCTGATACTGCCCCAAAGGGCCTTCTCTATAAACCTAAAAAGCAGATAGATAGGAGTTTATCTGAGGCAGTAAACCAGATTCCATCTCATCTGAATTGGGAGAGAGACCTGGACATCCTTTCTTAATGCTGAATGTACAGTATTTCCTGTGATTTGTCAGGATGTATACTCTGGCTCATTGTTAATAAGGAAACTCACCCCCCACTCACCTTACCCTACCTCTAGGACACATACTGCTCTAACTGAAGGGACATTTCCCCTTTTGATTTATAAGAGTTGAGGTCATCTAAATCATGCTAACTACATGATACTGAATGACATGGCAAATTGGAAGTAGAAGAGTCTCTCACCTTGATTAAGTCTGTATTGGTAATGTGCTGGTTTTATGTTCTGTTGTACTTCTCGTATTTGCTATTTTCTAGTTAAAAATAGTATTCTGGTTGATAGAGAACATTAAATGCTTTCTTTCTTTGGCAAATTATTATAGGCAGTCATGACATGGAAGAAACTTTCAGAACTCGGCAATTAGAAGCAACGTATGCATGTGTTCTGCTCCTTTGACAAGTCCCTCTGAACCCACTGCTGTCTGTAGAAAAAATGCAACTCAGAAATAAGTGCAGAGAACTTAAAGAGTTCAGGGGGGGTTGGAACTAGATGGTCTTTGAGGTCCCTTCCAACCCAAACTATTCTATGACTCTAAGGAGGAAGGAGTATTAATTGAAGGGTGTGAAGAAATTTATTCTTCTTTATGGAAGTTTGTGGCCCTTCAGCTTGAAGGGTTTGTTTTGAGGCCATTATACTCCAGACAGTTTAGCTGTGGATTTGATGTAGAGTTGGAAGCAGAGGTACTACTAGTTCTGAATGCAAATTCCCAAATCTCTTTTTCTAGTTCGCTCTGCTTTCCACTAAAAGTTTGGTTTTGTTTTTTTTTACCTCATTTGGAAAAATATGTGCCTGTCTAGTTTGAGGAATTACAAGAGCAAGGAGTGATAGTTAGGTTGTCTATTTATAATATCTTTGGTATTCTGCCAGTTTTGTGGGGGTTTTTTTGTTCGTTTTTAATGTTGTGATCTTTAAGGCTTTATGTTGTGTGACTTAGTCTTTGTGAAGACTTCTCATTTGGAACAGTTGTGACAGTCTAGTTTTGAATAGACAGAGGCTTGTAGATGAGAGTAGAGAAGGGCATGTTTCTTTGCCCAAGACTTCTATTCATTTAACTTCTTATAGGTATAAGATCCATTTCATGCCAGACCATATTTTACTTCCTAAACCTCTGAAGATAGAACAAAGGGGACCTTTCAGATTATTTTTCTTTCCATCTAAGATCAGGCCAGCAAGAAGGCTTCTGTTACATTATTTTTGAAGGTCAGGCCCACAACTGTAATTTGTGTTGCCTCAGGCATCCTCAGCCGAAGTTGTAATCAGTTAGCTCCCTTAAAAAAAACCCAACAGCTTTGATAGTCTGTGATGGATTCCTATGCCCACAGGTAGCACCATCCTCTATCTTAAAGGACATGCCCAATTTCTGAAGGCTTTACTCAGTTACAAAAAAGCTTAGACCTAATGCTTTTATAGTTGTCCTTTTACTGATCCTTCCCAAGTCATGTACAACTTTAAGGAGAGGCTGTTTCCTCTTAAGCTTTGGAGGATCATCCAGTTTTGGCTAGTTTTTAAAATGGTCTAATATCTTTTGGCACCATGCCCATCAGTGAAATAGTAATGCGTTCTGAACTATATAGGCTTGGTGCTTCAGTTGTCAGTGCAGTTATTTTTTCTTCTGTGAAGTGACTCTAGGAGTGTTTTAGTGTGTAATGCAATTATGCAGACAATGCAGGTGAAGCCATATGTTAATTACTGGAGGAAACAGAATTTTGTGTTGCACAAATAACATGATGTTGCTTAAACATGTTGATTTGTACTTCTAAGCCATGCTGTCTGCACTTCACCGGAGTTAGTTTATGGTGATGTGGTCTTTTAAACTGGAGATGAAAATAAAAAGTGATTTCAGCCTTCTTTCTCACCTATACGATGTCAAAAAATGAGAGAGTAACCATTCTCCTAGTACCTATTCTCTCAAAGCAAACACTGAAACATTGAGTTTATGCTTGTAAAATGCTTCGTCACCTGCTTTCTCAATTGTGTTAAGTTTTCTTAATTCCAGGCAGCTTGGACTAGCTCGTCTTTGCCTACCTCGTGAGAGCTGCTGAGTTGCTGTTTTCTGAATTGAGAAGAGAGAGAACAGGACCTAAAAGTACCGATAGCTGACCTTTTTTGTTTGATGCCAGTGCCTGTTGGAGGCCATGGCTTTATGTAGTGCTTCACAGTTGATGACACCTTATTTGCATATGCAAATTTCCTGCCTAAATACCTTACCTAGACTATAAGTTCCTGGAGCTGGAGACATATATATATATATAAACGTATCTGCCGTCTTAATGCTTTGCAATAATACCTTTCTTCTTTGCTGTGCATCTATGGCTCAGTAGATTAACCATGCAATTGCATAATATATCAGTTGCTGTGCTATTCTTAGCGAGGGTTTTGGTAATTTTGTTTTCAACTCCTATGGAGCCACTGTGATCCCTGAATTTATTTTAAAGATGGAGTTTAATATTAAAGCTGAAGCCTGATATTTGGACCTTGGTCCTTTGTCTTGTTTAGACAGTGTTTCCTGTATTTTGCCATAGTTTTTTCTGGTTTTGCTGTGTGTGATGAGCTGTAGCTGTTAAGAGTGGATGGTGTGGCTTATGGCTCCAGTTCTTCCAAGTTGTTCTGCCAGTCTGTCTCTTGTGCTTGAATTTTAGTATGGATAATGTTTTTTTCTTTTTTTCTTTTTTTTTCTGGTCCCCTTAGGCCACATACTTATTGTCATCAGTCTTTTGTTCAATGATGCTTATAAGCAATTTTCTTGTTTCCTTGGGAGAAAGGAGATAGCTCTGTGCATGCTCCCTTGTTAGATTTATGGAGGTAGTTGAGAGGGAAATTGTTGCTTGCTTTGCACGTTTTCTGTATTGTGGTTGTATGTAGGCTTCCTGAACTAGTAAAAGTCCATTATAGCCAGAAATAGTTGGGATTCTCATGTTCCATAAGAAAAATACAACTTCTAAAACTTGTTTCTTTCTCATCTCTTCCCAAAAATACAACCTGTGTTGCCATTTGTATAAGTGTAGTTTGCAAGTTATGAGGTTATGCGAATACCTGGTTTTTCCCCATGAACTGGAGGGGTGTGATGTGGAAGTATGTATTGAGAGCTTTCTCTTCCTTTTTGACTTTTGTATCTAATTCTGTTCTACCCAAATAGACTTCTTGGGAGACTGTAGGGGGAAAGAAGAAAAGCCTTGGAAAGGAATGTTCAGAAAACAAAGAGAACAGAGAAAAACGAGGGGACAGAGAAGTGAGTCGCGGACGGGGAAGTTCCAACAGACGGGGAAGAGGAGGCAGCCGTGGCCGAGAGTGTACGTATAGGAATTAATTTTTAAAGATTCAGCCACTTTTCTTGCAGCTGAAGCTGGCTGAGTTGATAGTGAATGCTTAATGAAGTAAAATCCATCCGAGCTATAGCTCAGTGCTGAAGGGATGGTAACTTGTTTGTGCGATGGGTATGCTTCATTGTCTAAATCACTTGGCTTTGGGATGGTCTGTGCTTGTTCAGAAACACTCAATTTAATTTAAATTTCTGTTCTTTTTTGATTAATTGATCTTGTATAAATTGCTGTTCTTTATGTAAGTTTTAGAATGAGGCTTTTTAAGACTGCTTGAGAGCAAGTATGTCACTACACAGCTGATGCACTTTTTTGTTTCTTTTAATGAAAAAATTATCCAGACTCCATCTCCTTTTATTAGTGGGAGAACCTGAAGATGTTCTCATCTTCTCATAAGGGGAATGAAAAGACTGGGATCATTATTAATGTCTAGCATATATTACTCACATAAGCCAACCACAGGTGAGTTTCTGCAACAGAGAAAATTCCTTGTGAGTTGAAACATTTAAAAATTTGCTACAGTTTATACAGATGCAATAATACATTGTGCAAAAGCAAACTGATGTTTCCAAGTTATGTAGCATCCATTAGATCACCATTAGATACATGTTGCTTTTTTCTCTAAGTTTTGTCAGAAGTATCAAAGCTGTATACATTGCTGGTGAGGGCCATACACAACACTGATGGATGAGGAGAGAAAGGTGAAAGAAAAAAATGTGTTTAGCTTTTCACATAAAAGCAGGAAAACTGTCTATAATATTAGCCAACTCTTGTAATGAATTATTGGAATATATTCAAATATTGTGCCAATGAAGACATTGTGTATCTTTGTAGAATAATGTCAAGATAGAAAAAAAATATTAATAAAACTTGCAGCTATACTTAGAATAAATTGAAATCAGATCCATCAACATGAAAATGAGGGGCAATTTTCTTTTTCTAGAGCCAGATGCTGCTTGTCTCTTTTTGTAAAATGGAATTAAAGATTTTTTTAGTTGGTTACCAAATCTTGATATTCTCTTCCCAGCTTTATGTCCAAGCATTAATGATTTTTGTTGCTGCTATTCGGAGAAGTTGTGCAGTACACAATCTCAGCAGTGTTTTAAGTGGCCAGTCATTTTTATTTTTTATTTTTTTTCTTCAAGGAGCCAACCATCATTCAGAGTACATCCTCAGGAGTTTTCCACAAAATAGTTAAGTGGTAGTGCTTTTCTAATGCCTTGCCTTCACCCAGTCATCATTCATCTGATTTAAATACAGAGGAGAATTCTTCTTAGATTCCCTGGTAGTACAGGGATGTGGTATGGACAGACAGGAGAAGAACTGGTGTTCCTGGTTATTCCTTCACTATTGCCATCCAGTGCATTATCAAGAAAGTATAGCATGAGGCAGCTTTATTTCCCACCTCATTAAAGAGATGAGGCCATACTTAATGGTGCAGGCTGCAAAGCACTGTGGTTTTTTTCGTTTTCAAAAAACAGAAGTGTGTCTGCTGGGGGACATTTCCTCTTATTAGATACTTCCTAGTTGTCCAGTGCAAAGTAAACATTACTTGCTTGTAGCTGGGCCCCCAAAGAAGAGGGGTGACTGAGATGTGTTGACCAAGCCACTTTAAAATCTTGCCTTTTCATTTGGGGTTCAGGTTAAGCAGATGGCAGTATTGTTTCATGTATGAGTCTCTAAAGCTTCTCTTAAGCTGTCCTCTCTCCACAGTTAGAGCTGAAGAGAATGGAGTGGACAACAGTCAAGGAGACAGGCCTTCAGACCGTGGAAAGCGTGGCCGTGGGAGAGGTGAGATGGTGGCGCTGATGTGGGACTGGCACTGATTTCATGTCCTGAAATGGAACTCCTCCATTTATTTCTGTAAACACTTCTTTTTAAGCATTTGTTGGTTATCCTTGATTCCATAAGCACTTTAACCACCTTTAATTTAGATACGTCCCTCCTCTTACCCCTTGTCATGTCTTGGTCTCAGAACAACTTAAAAGAATTGGCACAAATGACCTTTATGATAATTTCCTTTGTAGCAGGCTGGTGTGCTCTGGCTGTGGAGAGCTGTTTTCCCAGATCAACTCATGCCAGCCTCCTGGCTCCTCAGGATGTACCTTGGCAGCAGGAGAATACAAGATTCCATCTGTAGGGCTTTTGGGGAGGGATTTGATGTGTACTTGTGCTGCTTCTGTGGGGTGGATTCAATTGTCAGGCTTGCTGTCTATTTTCGGTGGCCAATCAGAGAAAGTACACACCACCTTAGAGGATTTATTGTAACAGAAGGAATTTGGCATGGAAGAGTTGATGAGGAGAACTGTGGAAAAAGAATACTGTGGAGTCTTAGGTACAGGTCTGATCTTATCCTGTAAAAGAGATAGAAAAGATGTTGATAATGGATTTGGTGTGGAATCAAGGGGTGTGTAGTTAATTTGGATTTTCATAGTGGAAAATGGAGTGGAAAGAGGCTTGTTTTTTCTTAGAGAAGGAAAAATGAAAATGAGTAACCTTGGTACAGTGCAGATTGTGTGGGGAAGTGGGTATTAAATGAATTAAATTGATAAAGTGCACAGCTGAGCTAATGTACTTAGTAAGTAATGTCTGACTCATGAAAAATTCTGCCTTCAGAGGACTCTCTTCTCTTTGGAATATCCACTAATGAGTCATTCAAAGACAGGCACATCCAACTTCATTGTCTTCAAATCTGCAGCCTGAAGTAGTAGAAAGATGCAAAAGCGTATAGCTTCCATAGGGTTGCGAGAATGACTTGGTTGTGCCTGTGAATCAGCATATACCAAATGGTGTGTGCAGAGAGGTAGCTTGGCAGGGGAGGATGTGTTATAGTTCACAGCTATAGTTTTTGGTATCTTAGCACTATTAATAGATGGAATGTAAGTATTCCGGTATTTGTTTTGTAAAATAATCATTTATACTTAAATATAAATGTAGGATTTTTTAAAAATTGGTGGGTGAAACTTAGAGGTTAATTTCAAATGCAGTTTATTTTTTGCTGTGTAACCTTATGAATAGTACGCTGCTTTTGTTGTCAACACCGCCGCTCTCTAGGTGATTATCATATGTCTCAAGCCAACGAACTTAATCATCAGATCAAATTGATGTATCTGAAGAAATAGGAACAAATTCAACCAATTTCTATTCACTGGTTTAGTGTATGTAGTATTACTGTATCTCTAAGTATTTTAGCCTGTACATTCAAAGTATCTTAATGAAGTGTTCTCAACAGTCTGTGATAAACCTGTTGAACTACTCCAGGATCATTATATTAGAAGCGTGTGTATTCTGTGGCAGGAAATACCTAACTTAATTTCATAATGCAAGGCCTTGTATAAAACTGTGTAATTCACTTCTCAGTATTGTAGGGATGCATGACCTTATTTCTTTTGGATATTAGTACAAATGATAAAAAAAAGCTTCATTTCGTTCAGTAGTCTTTCTTTTCTGTTACACAGAATAGTCAAATATGGGATGAAGTAGTTCAGCTGAAAGTAAATAGATTATTGGTAATCACGACAGAATGCCTTTTTGGAAATGTTTCATGCACAGTGTGTGTGTAGGAATCTAGGCATTGGATACAAAATTAGGGGTCAGCTAATATGAGCAACGCACTGTCTTGCTATTTTAAGCTACCTTCTCAAGCTGGCGTTTTTTTACTGGCTGCTTTCTAGGGAAAGGTTTGCTGGGCCATCATATTACTGCTTCACTGTAGAACAACCTAATTTTAAGAAATGATATCAAGGACATGTAGCGATAGGACAAGGGGTAATGGCCTTAAGCTGAAGGAGAGCAGCTTTAGATTAGATACTAGGAAGAACTTCTTTATGAGGTTGGTGTGACACTGGAATAGATTGCCCAGAGAAGATGTGGATGCTCTATCATTGGAAGTGTTTGAGGCCAGGTTGGATGGGGCCTTGGGCAACCTGGTCTAGTGGAGGGTGTCCCTGTCTATGGCGGGGAGTTGGAACTAGATGGTCTTTGAAGGACCCTTCCAACCCAAACAATTCTATGATTCTATGATATGCACTGGAAATAACAGAAATAGGATTGACACTGGGATGATAATGTGCTGTTTACTGAGGGGGGGAAAGACCCTGATACTGAGTATTTAAGCCTTGGTGCTATAGGCCCTAGCTTTGTTGTGCAGTAGATCTTATGTTAATGACTGTGTGACCTTCCTTGCAACTTTATGGGGTAGTAGGTATACAGTGTACAAGCGCCTCTGGTTGCTGGTGTGCAGGAGATCAGGGATTTGAAGTAGATAGACGTTTTTGACTTATTAACAGAAAGCAAAAATGCATCACAGAATGTGTTTCAGGACACATCCCAGCTGGAATTGCTCTGCTCTGAATCTTTGCTTGCTAAACTGAGGGTGTAAAGTTTGGCTTGCGGAGGAGTTTTTTTTTTTTTTTTTTTTTTTTTAAGGTGGGCTTCCCCCCTGCCTGTCTGTCAGAACTGAATTTCTTGAATGAATTTAATTTAGATGTAAAAAATACTATAATAGTGATGGGTAGTAATTACATCAAAGGATTATATTTGTGTGTCAGTATTGCAAGGATTTGTAACTGTCTGGAATAGAATCTTGTGAAGGAATTAGGGAGGAAGATGGTTATGTCTTTAGTATTGTTAGCTTTAGAAATGTTTTCTCATTTGTGTTTTAATCAGCTACTGTGTTACAAATTGACATACTTTAGGCACAATTATTTTTTTTTAATACTGATGTTTTGTACTGTTCTTACATCTTCAGTTTCAAGTGCAGGTCTCATTTTCCCACTGTCCTCCATGTTGAAAAGGATGCGGTGGAGCTAGAAAAGGCTTTTGAAGGTACTGGGAAGACTGCATTTATGGGGTATGAGGAACAAGCAGACTAGGACTTCTCCACCTGCAAAGGAGAGGGCTGAGTGGGTGTATGGTAGAGATCTGTAAAATGTTTGCAGAGAAGGTTCTGTGGGGAAATCAACTGATCGCTCCAAGCAGGTATGCAAATGAGGGAGTATTAAAAGAAATCAATAGGTTACAGGTTCAAATTGGACTTAAGGAGGTGTTTCTTCATATGTGTAGTTAACCCGAGGAATTCCATTCAATAAGATGTTATGGATGTTGAAAATTTACACACAGAGAGACTTGACAATCCTAAAAAAGAACCACAGCAAGAAAAGGAAAAACCACTGAGGGTTTTGATGTATGTAAACTATCTTTGGCTGAGGAAGTCTGAGCCACAAATCGTTGAAGACCAGGAGAGTGTCCAGAAAAACTGCACTGCGGTTTTGATTCTTGTGCACTTACCTAGATAGCTAATTGACCATAGCTGATAATGGAGTAGCAGGTAGATGAACTTTTCAACTTGATTCAGCATAGCAATTGTTACAGATTCATGTGTAGCAATTCTCCTGGTTTGCAAAGTGAAAATGGATTTGTCGCTTTTACTTCTGTTCCTTTGTTCTCCATAAATGTGGATGCTGACAGGGATTTTTTTCCTAGCAAAACAGGAATAAGAATGAAGGGGAAAAACATTTTAATGTTTTAATTTTGGACTTAAACAGCATGACAAGGAGCCTTTCAAACTCTTGTTTTTTCTGCTGGTTGTATAAAACAGTGAGGCAGCTTACTCTTTTTTGTAAATATCTGACTATAGTCCAGCTTGTATTCTTGATCTCTTTTTTTAAACATTTTTTAGGTAAGTATGCTATCCTTGAAAAAATTGAAAAAAAAATGAGCATAAGAATTGCATGTCTAAACATTTTCTTGTTTTAAAAGCGTAGCATAGTTGGCACAGGATATATTTTGGAATTCCTTTGCCAGAGCTTTAATAGCTTGGTTTTTCTAAAACATGAATGTAGAGCAAACCTTTTGCAGGTCAGAGTCTGAAGTCTGTTTAGTTTTGCTGTAGTTTACTTCTGCATTGGTTAAGAAGCTGTGTGTATCATGTGAAATTGTGTTTTTGGGTTTTTGTTTTGGGTTTTTTTTTTTTTTTTAATTAACCAGAACTTAGCTTTAACATGTAATTTATTTTCTTTTAAACATAACTTCAGAGTTGAAAGATTTTTTGCACATGCATCTGAAGGTGGTTACTAGAGCACATGCAGTATATAAAACTGATCTTCTAGTTTTATTACTAGTAAGACAAAAGCAATTTTAATTATTAAATATAACTTCAGTGTTTGTTTTGGTAGTATGGAATACCTAGAATACAAACTTGCTATACGTAGCCTCCTTATCTCTTCATAAGGCTTAAGCCTCTGTTGCCTCGATGTCTGCTGGGAATATGGCTGGCTCTGGTCTGTGCTCTGGAAATGCAGGGCTGTTCAGTTACTGTGTAGTCGGAGATAAGCACAAATCTAGGGTGTTGCCTGCCCTTCCAGTCTGCATTTCCTTTTCCTTTCAGCTGTTCTTAGGCCTCTTTCTTACCTTGAAGTGTCTTCATCCAATTTAAACCTATCAGTGGGAAAACCTGAGTTTTAAAATAAAGCACCTGTGCTGAAGTGGAATGATTTAGATTTGCAAACTCAGCTAACTGGATTTCCTACAGAATTGTCTATTAAGTTAATGGAATAGGCCTGTCCGAGTTGTGGTACTACACACTTTCTTGTGCTCTGTCCTGGTTTTCAGCTGAGATAATTTTCAGAAGAAGCTGGGAGGGGATACAGCCAGGACACCTGACCCAAACTAGCCAAAGGGATATTCCATACCATATGATGTCATGCTCAGTATATAAGGGGGGACCTGACTGGGGAGGATGGGTCATTGCTCAGGGACAGGCTGGGCATCATGTTCTGGGCAGTGAGCAA